ACTTTGCTGCATAATCTATAGCTTCTCATATTCCTGTAGCATATTCATCAATACTAGCATCATGATTTTGACAATGAAGAGTGTAGCATAGGTTACATTTATGACTAGTCACCCAGAGATAGCAGTTCCAGATCATTCGTTATTATTTTGGGAATCTACCATAAAGTGTTAATTTAATACTAACAATTCAGAATGGGGAAAATTGAATTGTGAAGTTTGGATTCTGAAGATATCACACTTGATTTTTCTCACACATTTTATGAATCCTTTCTTCCACATCGTAGCAAGACCCCCTTTACCCCGTCAAGGTTTGACCACTGTATCCTCTTTGAATGCAGGCATATACAATACATATCATTATTTTCTCCAAAATATTTCTTTAGTTTGTTAGTATTGCATTGTTTCCGGTCCCCAGAATCCATGTTCAAGTGTTCTTGAATGCATGTAATGTATCAGAACAAAGTTCTGTTATATAAAGTTCTGTTTATCAATTTCCATACCCCCACTATTATAACTAGTTAAGCACAAAGCACTAGCTGCATTTATCATTGTACTGATGTTGCACCACCAGTAGCACTATTCTTATCTCCACTTATTCTTAAAATTCGGTGAGGATGAGGGAACAAATCTCATAGAGTAAATAAAGTAGATGTTAGTTCCACATTTTATTGGAAATATATTTCGGTCTGGTTTGACCTTCGTCAGTTCTAACGATATGATAACCATCAAAATCGATAATAAAAATGTTAAAAACCACAAGAAAAATAAACTAACAATATAGATTTAAAAAAAATTTGGGGTGTCAGATGGGAAAAAGAGAAACGAACTCAGATATCATGATGTGTAAAAAATTATTTGCAAATATTCACTTTTTAAAGAATGTTTTAAGACATTGTTTCTGTCATGAAGATTCAAAACAAACTGTTCCTATGTATTATTCTATCAGCAAACCTTTCGAAAAACAAGACATTCAGACAAGCTTAATAGTATTTACATAATATAAATATTCGCATGTTTTGATTCTGATTTTATATACCATGCAAAATATGTTGAATTATACATATTTGAAAAGCCTTTGACCCTGCAATTTCGAATTTGCAATATTTTCAAAAAAACTAAAACTGCACATTTCAACTAAATAAATTCAAAATAAAAAGATTTTAAAACGTAATAATTTAGTAACATTAAAAAGTATTTTTAACCCAAAAAATGTGTCAAAATGCCTCAAAACGTTACATAACGTTAACATTTCCTAATTACACAGTCAAAAATAACTCTCCGTGTTACTCTTTCTCTTCTCTGAGTAGTAAGGATATCTAAAGATACACAACGTCATTGTCGTTTAATATATTTTTAAACCAAAAAATGTGTCAAAATGCCTCAAAACGTTACATAACGTTAACCTCTTTATTTCCTAATTACGTAGTCATAAATAACTCTCCGTGTTACTCTTTCTCTTCTCTGAGTAGTAAGGATATCTAAAGATACACAACGTCATTGTCGTTTAATATATTTTTAAACCAAAAAATGTGTCAAAATGCCTCAAAACGTCACATAACGTTAACATTTCCTAATTACACAGTCAAAAAATAATTCTCCGTGTTACTCTTTCTCTTCGCTGAGTAATAAGGATATTTAAAGATACACAGCGTCATTATCGTTTAATATACCTTGTTGTTTACGGATCTGATGAAAATTTAAAAGAAAAAACACTTGAAAGTTTTCAGCAGTGTCAGCAGACCCCTCTAGCTCCTCAACAGAGTTTAAAGTTTCAAACTAATTTGGTTCTTTTTATTTAATCAGGGTTAAGGCAAAGACATCATTTTTAATATAGAAAACTTTTTACACATTCACACTCTTACAAATAGCGCATCTTAAACCTGCAATTTAATATTTCCCTTTGATTTATTGACATTAAAATGGAGTACAGTACCCATATTTGATCATTCAAATTCAGTGCATTTATATAAATGTGACTTTTATTTGCGTGGGAGATTTATGTAACAAAGTTGACCAGAGAAACGTAATACTGATAAATAATTTTGGTTTTTGGAAGATCCCAGTAATTATAAATATTCCTCAGAACAGGGAAATTTAGGGATGAAACCCCATAATCCCGAACACTTAATCTCGAGATCCACTGCAGGCACTTTTAATTTTAGGATAATACTCGATGTCTTCTTTTCGGTTGTTCTGACAGGGTATACGATTACCGCTGAATATCATGCAGTTAAAGATATAATTAATTTGTAATTTTACAAAAGATCAAGATCAAGCATCGATTTCGATACCTTTGAAACCTTAATTTCTCCGTCGTTTCGGAAGCAACAAATGCGCGAGTCGTTTTTTTAAAGAAACCACAAAAAGAAATATTCAGTTTTCAAAATGGGAAACATGGATGTTTGATGCAATACTTGATCAGACAAAGCTTAGAAGGGTATTGTTGTGAATCATAATATATTTTAATTCTTTTCTTAATCTTTTAGTTTGGGTGAGTGGAATGCAATACAATGTAGAATGTAGATTGCCTAAGGAAGGGAAGTAATATAAAAAGAGCCCTCCCCAATGAGTGCCCCCCTCAGAGGGGGCTCGGCCCCTCCCCCTCGTACGCCCCTGAACTAGTCCTAGCTTCCTTGTCCGTCTGGTGTCAATCTTTGTTTTAAAGAAAGGGAAGATACAAGAGATGTATTTCTGTAAGAAATATTCACATAAAATATGCGATGTTAAAAAGTTCATGTGAACTGACAACTTTAATTTGTAAGATTTTTTCTTTACATGTTCTTTCTAAATCTATATGTAAATTTGGCTTGTCTGTCTGTTTGTTTGTATCCAATAAACGTCAAAACGGCTGAACCGATCGGGCCCAAATTTTTTGTGGGACATCACGTGACCATTTTCTCCTTATAGACGCGACAGATAAAAGTAAGATTAGTAGCGATCAAAAGCGCTTTTTTATCGCATTAAGCCTATACCCCCTTTCATTTTTCGCTAACACTCCCTTTAATTCTTAAAAATCCACGATTTTTTTTTAAAAAATCACAAAAATTTGTTCTTCTTTGTTTTAAAATCTTAACGAAAAGAACATGGTCACAATTTAAATAGAAAATGGGCGCGCGAAGCGCCCTAAAGGCCTAGTATTTTATAATCCGACAGTGATATTTGCCGATTTCTAGAAATATATTACACTTAAAGAGTTAACTTAGGTCATAATCAATTATAATGCCATAAAACGAAAACATTTCAAATTCAAAGATTATTTTCCCCTAAAATTATTTGCCTGAATAAAAAGTCGTTAGAAATCAAAGTTTAGACAGAAAGTCATCATAATTGTATAGAAATAAAGGCCGACCTTTAATTATGTATGCTTATTGCTTACATTAGAAGATGGGGAGTTATTGCTAGATTAGAATTCTTTCGATACTTGGGGAGCTGTTTTTATTTTTGTAATGCAGGGGGGGGGGACAGGGGACTACACAATTTTTGGCAAAACAGCAGAGAGGGATGGGGCTGATATGGAATTTGTTAGAAGTTACCTTTTTTGGGTTGTAAATTGCACTTATTATTATTAAGTCACTAAAAATAGACACGACTTTATATTCCGTAATATTCTTAACTAAAAAAAATTAACCTTTTTCCTACTCTAAATGTTATCTCGATTATAGTTTCTTAATACTGCAGAAACTCACACATTTGTTTAAGATGTTTTCTGTAATTTTTGTACTGCGGAATAATTTTCATAAATCTTTGTGTTATCCTTTTCTAATATCTTCATTTCTTCATTCATTCTCCTCATGTCTAAACTATAGATGTATACATCTGTAAGGCTACACAGGAGTAAGGTTCTTTTGGGTAAAATATATATCCGCACTTTATAGTTGTCTAGAAAAACATGGGTGTTAAAATATTAAAACAAAGGTCGTCATACTTCAATCTTAACTACTTGGCCTTCCGGTGTATACACAACATCCACTGTATGGGTATTTTCAACGTGAGGGAATTATCAAACAGAGCAGTGAACTGCATAGTTAGTTAAACATGTTTGAAAAAATATTCAATTATGAACTACATTTAATATTTCAGGAGTATGCAACTATTCATTTAAATATTCCTCTACTTTTGTTGTTCCCTTTTTTCGGCTAATCTATATATAAATTTGGCTTGTCTGTCTGTTTGTCTGTCTGGGTGCTCTTATTTGCCCACGGGCTATCAGGACATTTTCGCATTCAGCGTAGGGTTACCAGGACCTCTCCGGCTATCAGGACCGGCTGTCAGGACCATCGCGTTCACAGTAGGGTTATCAGGACCAAAAAACGGCTGTCAGAACCTTTTTGTTTCGTGTCAGCGCAAAAAACGCAAAGCAAACCAACACATTTATAGGGTTTAGCGAAAATGTTTCTATACCGATTCGATTATACACTCAAGTTGAATGTCACATATAATGACAGCAACATAAAGATTAGCTTTATAAAATTAATCCGTATCACCATTGATTGGATGATGATGATAATAAAATCATAAGAATAATAATAATTGATATAGTTTGTTTTCTATAAGTATTAATAATACCGAAACTATAACAATAACTATAAATTAGAAGCGAGAATCAAAGAAAGGAATTGAAATTTTCGCCACAAAATTTTTAAACTGATGGTGTAAACCATTGATATTTCAAACTTAGATTATTTAATCTAACAGAATTCATAGTCACATCTCTCAATACCAATCCAGGGGCGGATTAAGGGGGGGGCCTGGGCCCCACACTAAACTCTTGGAGGGGGGAGGCTCCCCCCTATGATATGAAATAAAAGCATCAAGGGATGAAAGACACAACAAAAATAGAATTGAATAAAGGTCCAGAAATACCCTTTAAAATTGTTTCCTATCTTATTATTTAAACTAATATGTCTGTAAAAATACAGATAGAACATGTGATAACAGAAGTTTACAGATAGAGAGTAGGAGAACTGGAGTCTACTGACAAAAAGTATGAGAACTGGAGTTTACAGATAGAAAGTGTCAGAATTGTAGTTTANTAACAGGGCTAACATACTTGACATCAGCTTGGAGGGCTTCATGTCTCCAGACAGTGGTAAGCTAGAGATTGCTTCATAACGTTGAAAATCATCCAGGGCAAAGAGTCTCAACAGCCGTTTCTTCAAGGCTTCGTAAGGTTCAGAGGACGGCGGAGACTTTATCAGATCCAAAACTTGGTTGGCGGTCTCTTGATTGAAGGACGAGACGCAATAATAAAACTTCGTGAGGCTGGTGGTTACTCCCTTGAGCGCGAACTGGGCTTCCACTTGAACAAACCAGGCTTCCGCGGAATCTGGCCAAAAAGCTGGAACTTTCACTGACACTGTGTTCAAAAGGTCTAAAGAGCTTGGTTCGGCTCGGACCGGGACATTATCACCGTCCTTGGGCATTTTCACTTGAGCGAGTAGCTTAAAAACAGTTTATAGTGTTGAAAAGAACAGTCTATAGGAGCGAAAAAACTCGGGGTCTTGCCGCGTCTGAGTATCCGGCTTCTAACTCCTCAGATCGTCTTCCCCCACAACTTCTCTGTAAACCTTTACTTTTAACAAATTCTTTTAAAATGAAATTTCATGGCTTAGCAACTGTATATATTGTTTGAATATGTCTGTATTTGAGAGGATTATTGTATTTTACAAAGTGTTATATTGAAGTTTAATGTATTCAATAAATTCACACATTTTCACAGCAAATATTCAATTCAACCATTTTAAATTCATTTGGTTTTATATTGGGTTAAAACGACTCCGTTTTCACCATCATTTAAATTAAACAATTAGGGATGGGCACTTTTTACTTTTCTCATAATTTAATTGATAAATTCTTTAACGATGAAAACAAAACGAAAAAACAACCGTCTTTAACTACAAAATATTTTAAAAATAAATTATTAACAATACAGATAGAACATTAGATGTCGTCTTTTCCAGAGGCTTTTCGTTCACAAGAACCCTGAGACATAGGCCCATAGGAGTGACAAGACAGAGAGAGAGGGCATGCGCGTAACTTCTTTGGGCTTCTGTCTCTAAACGAAAAACCCCTAAAGCTTGAAAAGACGACCTAACTGTATTGTTCTAAGTCTATGATTTTAAATAGAAACGAAGAAGCAGATTATCTGTTAAATGGCAAAAAAAGTCTCAGCTGAAAAAATTATAAATTTTCGTTTTTACAAATAATGATGTACAAACCATGTTTTACATTTTAAGTTAAATTTTACAATTGTTTTTTTTAAAAATGTTACTGTAGCTTAATTAGTAAAAAGATTATGGACATTTAAAAAACTAAAAATTAACTACGACCATCCCTTTGACAATTCTTTACCCTTTAAATTCCTATTTTTTAAAAGTAAATAAGTGATAGTATAATCCCTATTTTTCAGTGATCCTCCATACAAAGATGACAATACCCTGATGGCTTTCTCTGCTCAAGTATTTATAATGTGCTAATGTGTTTTTGTTTATTCAAACAGTTTATTTCATTTCTAGTTTCCTACAAAAACGACTTGCGCAATGCGCATTCCTTGCTTATCAGAAATATCACGGAAATAAACACTTTTAAAGTTAGTAAAAACGATTTAATCATCACCATTTTTTATCTGATAAAACTTTAAAGGGTACCGTTTTGAATCCGACATTTGTTAAGTACCCGAGCAGGTATAACTAGTATATATGTAAATGATATGATATCCTGGGTGTTAAGTACCTGAGCAGGTATAAGTAGTATATATGTAATGTATGTATATGGTATGATATCCTGAGTGTTAAGTACCCGAGCAGGTATAACTAGTATATATGTATATGGTATGATATCCTTGGTGTTAAGATACCCGAGCAGGTATAAGTAGTATATATGTAAATGTTATGATATCCTGGGTGTTAAGTACCCGAGCAGGTATAATATGTAAATGTTATGATATCCTGGGTGTTAAGTACCCGAGCAGGTATAAGTAGTATATATGTAAATGTTATGATATCCTGGGTGTTAAGTACCCGAGCAGGTATAAGTAGTATATATGTATATGGTATATGATATCCTGGGTGTTAAGTACCCGAGCAGGTGTAACTAGTATATATGTATATGGTATGATATGACCAGATTTAAATAACATGAAAGAAATTTCTTGGAAGCAGATTTAAACATTTCCAGAATTAAAAGTTTCATAGAAACATTTAGAAATATTTAAACTTTATGGATTACAGAAATAATGTACATCGATATATTTTTACTAATTTAAATACTTTTAAACAAGTTTATAAACATTGAAGTATGTAAATGTCTGTAAATTGTTATAATGTAAGTAAATGTCTTCAAATTGTTCTTATGTATGTTGGTGTCTGTAAATTGTTGTGGTGTATGTAAATGTCTGTAAATTTTTGAAATGTATGTATATGTCTGTAAATTGTTGTGATGTATGAAAATGTCTGTTATTTGTTGTAATGTATGTAACTATCTGTAAATTGTTGTAATGTATGTAACTGTCTCTAAATTGATGTAATGTATGTAACTGTCTGTAAATTGTTGTAATGTATGTAAATGTCTGTAAATTGTTGTAATGTATGTAAATGTCTGTAAATTGTTGTAATGTATATAAATGTCTGTAAATTGTTGTTATGTATGTAAATGTCTGTAAATTGTTGTAATGTATGTAAATGCCTGAAAATTGTTGCAATGTATGTAACTGTCTGTAAATTGTTGTAATGTATATAAATGTATGTAAATTATTGTTATGTATGTAAATGTCTGTAATTTGTTGTAATGTATGTAAATGTCTGTAATTTGCTGTAATGTATGTAAATGTCTATAAATGTCTATAAATTGTTGTACATTCTTTAACCCCATAAAGGCTGGTGGGTCTGAATGTATTCAAAGCCTACGTGTACACTGTTAAAAATGACGTTTGAAGAGTAAGTACACTGCTATTATTTAAACTCTTTACCTCACAATAAATAAACGTTATCCGAGCCTACATGACAATTGTACGAAATTTTTTATTACAGTCATGGTAAAAGGAACGTCTAAAGCTTTTGTTTGAAGGCTGATCGCTCTTCTGTTGGAAAATGCCGCACAAATTAAGAAACTCCGAATTCAAAGTCCAGGGTTTCCTCTTTTTTTTGATCTTTTCTATATAAAAAGGCCTTTGAGCAAAGTGCAATGCAATGCATGTCCAGTGGCGAATTTTTAAAGGTCAGCTCATTGAAAACAGATCAGACCGCACCAGCTTCACATAGTATGGATGTTAGGTAGCTTTTAAAAACCAAAAATGAATATAATATCTATTTTTGTATCTTATAGTTGAACATTGATTAATTTCAGTTGTGGATAAAATGATCGAGGTTTCAGGAATATGTTGTGAATCAGACATTCCACTCGTCTACAAGTCACTAAAAGTTCTCTGCCAACAGTAAAAATGGTATTGGGATAGTTTGATGATTTTATATTAAAAAAAAAACAGTTTTGTAAAATGAAGGAAAACATTAAAAAAGTTTTATTTATATTCCTAGATATTTTAATGTATTGTTTAGCTGATCAAAAAAAACTTTCTTGATAAATCTTATTAACTTGTAAAATGAATTTTCCCCATTTAAATAAACTGTTTTATTAGTTAATTAAATATATATTTATCGTATACATAAATGAAGTTATGCAAACAGATTAATTATACTTGTCGGACCCAGGGATGTTCATAAATATATGGTAACAGCTCTTTAACCATATACAGGCTGCGGAGGGGGGCGTTTGAAGCCCCACCCCTCTAGTTTTATTTGTCCTGCACTCTCATTTTTGACGCTGTCAGTGTGAAATTTTTAATGCATAGGGTAGGGTAGGGGAGATAAAAAGTCCAGTCTGTGTTAAAAAAAAAATCGAAAATAGCCCAATACTTTTTTTGTTATTAAAGCTACAGATCTAAAAACTATAATTTTAAGAAGCCCTTGAAAAATTTATGTAAAAACATGTGTCACACTAAAAAATTGAGGTATTTACACAGTGATACAGGAATAACCCAACCTTAATTTTCATTTTTAAATAATGAGCGACAAATAAAACAATTGTTTGATAAATTTACGGATCCAATTAGAAACCCTCTGATCCCTTTAATTAGAATAAGTAAATATATAAAAGTTTCTAGATCCCTTCAATTGATTTATGTAAAGTTTACCAATTCCTTATATAAATATATTCCTAGTTTATAATCCCTACAAAACCTTTTATTAAAATATGTGAAGTTTATCAATTCCTTATATAAATAGATTCCTAGTTTACAATACCTACAATTCCTTTGTTTAATATATGTCAAGTTTTCAATCCTTTTAATAAAAAGATCTCTAGTTTATAATCCTTACAATTAATATATGTGAAGTTTACCAATCCCTTAAGTAAATAAATCACTAACTTGTAGTCCCTTCAATTAATATTTGTAAAGTTTACCAATCCTATAAATGATTAGATCCCTAAATTGTAATCCCTTCAATCTCTTCAATGAATATACGTTAAGTTTACCAATCCTTCAAATGAATAGATTCCTAACTTGTGTTCCTGTCAATCCCTTTAATTAATATATGTGAAGTTTACCAATCCTTTAAATGAATAGATCCCTAGTTTATGATCCAATAAACTCAGAATATATCAAATTTTACAACTTCTCCAGATTCTAGAGTATATTTCATTAAATAAGTTAAAACCCTATTTCTTAGAAAAGTTCAAAAGATGCATGACCCGAACCGGTACAAGGTTTGTCTGGTGTAGTTTTTACTCGTACCGACCCGTATCGTGTACCCAGTATATGTGGTTGACCCTCCACATTTTAGGCGACAGAGTTAGGCGGGCAGAACTAGATGTGTTTCTTTTCCAAAAAGATTATTTTAAATAAATGTTTTTTTTGTAAAATTGATTAGTTTTTATAACTGTGTTTGTTTTGTATGAAGTAAGGGGTTTAGATGGAAAAGGTTTATTCAATGCTTAGGCAAAGTTGCAGGGAATCAAAATTATAAACGAAAACGGAAAACAGTAAAGTCGTCTTTGAAGTCTCATCCTTTGTGGGTAACCCTGTATCATAAATATTTACAATATTGCCTTCACAACCAATATCGGATTTTTGTAAACTCTGATTACTGTAAAAATAAATTATCATTGAAGGAACCCAACATAGCTTCAAGGAACCCTCCCCCCCTCCCCCCTATAGAGTTGTATTTTTGTAAATTCTGATTACTGTGAAAATAAATTAGCATTAAAGGAACCCAAGTTCCAACACAGCTTCAAGGAACCCTCCCCCCCCCCCCCTAGATAGTTGTGTTTTTCCCTGTTACTACTATTTGCTAGACAAAGATTTCAGTTATTTTTTGCTTTTTTCAATAACATATTAGCAGCTTTTTAGCTAAAAGTCAAGTTTGGCCTCCTGATTTATGAAAGGGTTAAAGGGGAAAAAACAAATTTTATCTGTTTCAAAATAAAAACTTTCTTTTTTTTTGACCAAGAATTAAGTGACTGTGTTGTGATGTTTGTATGTCCGATCTTAAATAAGTCCTGAACCACTCGACCGATTTGTCTCAAATTTTGATTTTTAAGAATTAAAATGGACATTTTCAAAACTTTTTTTGAGAAAATAAAAAAATTTTGATAATAATTTAGGTAACTGCAGTAACAAATGAGAGTCTTAAAATCATCCCTGGCCAACTGGTAGCTTCTGGTTTGGCTGCTTAATGGTTGCAGAAAAAAGATACTTTGCTCTACATCTACATTTTTCCAAAAGTTCTTTTCTCTTATTCGGCGGGGTTTTTTCTCGTTTTTTCCATTGTTTATAGCCGAGGCTGAACTGTATGCAGCTTTTATACTCCAATCTTTGCTGAAGAATCTGTCTTCAGATTTTACTTTCCATATCTATTTTGAAAAGCCAGCACTGGTTTAAAATTTGTTGAGATTAAAAGATTTATTTATTCAAAAAAGATTAAAATATTTATTTATTCAACAACCTCTCTTTGAAGGTATTAGAGGTTAGTCTAATATTCGCTGAATTTATGTTGCTTGTTGATATATATATTTTCAAATGATTGTTTGAGTTACAAAGGAATTGAGTATTTGCCACAAATTCAGTTTTTGTAAAACCTGTATCTTTGCAACCTTATGATGTAAACCTTTGATATTTCAAACTTACATTATTTGCTCTAATAGCATTCATAGTTTGAAATATTAAAGGTCTACGACATTGGGTTGCAACGATATTAAAATTAGAAAATTCAGAGTTTGTGGCAAAAACTCAATTCCTTTGCGTTTTAAGGGATATCTTGCTTCATAAACTCGGCAATCACATTCTTTTTCTTTCTCTTTCTTTTCTCTTTCTTGTCTGATTATCTTTCTATTGTGTCCCGCAATTATTGACTCCATGGTGCCCATGCAACGTATCCTTGTAGGACACTTTAACATTCGATTTATTGAAACATTTTTCTAAGCTTGTTTTTATATACATTGATGATATATATGTTTATATATTTATATTTGTATAAATATATTTATTTATACAATATATATCTTATAATTATAAAAATATATGTGCTTAGGGAAAATCGCATTTCTTTAGATTTTCCTTTATGTCTGCTTTTCCTTTTTGGTTACCGTCATTGGGGTCGGATTGACCCTATCCCTGCAGGGGGTACTTGAAACCCAGGATACGCTGGGGGGGGGGGGGAATTCGACCTTCTCCCCTCTAAATCCCATGTTTGATGTCCAAATATGAAAAATAATTCATCATTGGAAAGGCTCTTCTTTTAGAATCTGAAAAAAAAATTTAAAAATTTGCAAAAATTGTAATTTTTTCGCAAAATCCAGTTATTAAAAAAATGTTCAAAAAAAAATGATAAATATACATTTTTGAAAAGCTCTTGATCAAGCCATTTCAAATATGCAAAAAAATAGCAAAATATAAATAATGCGATATGTAATAAAAGAAAACTAAAAATGTGCAAATTTCTTTTGGCGTATTTTATGCTAATATTTTGCAAAAATGTCTTTGTAAAACTTGTTTAATCTGTTTCCTTATGTCATAGGCTCTCCAAAAAGCTAAAAAAATTTAAAATCTGACAACTAAAAGTGGGCCAAAACAACGATTTAGTTTGCTACAAGAAAAAGTAGTCATTCAGGACTCGGATAGTTAGTATAAAAGCCCGGTTTTATACCTAAGGAGAGGGCTATGGATATTAAGGAAAAGTCAGAAAATTTCAACAGCCTCAGACCATTACTTTTTTTAGTTATTCGTTGACTGAATCCTCTGGGGAACTGGAAACAGCATAAACAGGGTTAGAGGCCACTCTGCTCTGGTAAATTTCGTCGGCTTTCAGGGCGAGAGTGATAGGATCAGAGAAATCATCCCTGAGTAGATGAGCGCGTACGTCTGCAGGTAACCTCTTGAGAAAAGCTCCCCGGAGAAAAAAACATGGTTTATGACCAACTGGTAACAGGGCTAACATACTTGACATCAGCTTGGAGGGCTTCATGTCTCCAGACAGTGGTAAGCTAGAGATTGCTTCATAACGTTGAAAATCATCTAGGGCAAAGAGTCTCAGCAACCGTATCTTCAAGGCTTTGTAAGGTTCAGAAGACGGCGGAGACTTTATCAGATCCAAAACTTGGTTGGCGGTCTCTTGATTGAAGGACGAGACGCAATAATAAAACTTCGTGAGGCTGGTGGTTACTCCCTTGAGCGCAAACTGGGCTTCCACTTGAACAAACCAGGCTTCCGCGGAATCTGACCAAAAAGCTGGAACTTTCACTGACACTGTGTTCAAAAGGTCTAATGAGCTTGGTTCGGCTCGGACCGGGACATTATCACCGTCCTTGGGCATTTTCACTTGAGCGAGTAGCTTAAAAACAGTTTATAGTGTTGAAAAGAACAGTCTATAGGAGCGAAAAAACTCGGGGTCACCAATTTGGCTACGCTCAGTTTAACACGACCGAAGTTTAAATAAATACTTTATTGACTAACTTATTTTTAAATCTAAATTTAAGAAATCGAAAAATATATATATCAAGGTGACGTGGCAGAATTAGAGCTCTTCTTGCCGCGTCTGAGTATCCGGCTTCTAACTCCTCAGATCGTCTTCCGCCACACATCTATCTATATTTCTTACTAGAATCTATTCAAATTATCTCCAATCATTATTTTACTGAACGATATTTTGTCAAAACTAGGAAATTGTTGATCGAACCTAGGACATCAATCCTCAAAATGTTCCCAGATTATCATTTCAGTGCCTTAAATTAAACATCAGAAAAGGTTTAAAACAAACTTTTTTTACATTGTATAAAGTTCAAATCTTTATATATGCATTGGTTTGGTGTTTGTCTTATTTTTTTATATAAAATCTTGTGTTTGAAATTTATTGTGTCACCTGTCTTTTTTTTTAACAAACTATTTTCATTTTGTGGTCCAAAGCTGTATTGTTAAAAAAGTTTAAATATATCGAATTTCCCCTTGATACTTGTAAATAAACGAATTCGATACGCTCACCGGATACAAATCTAAATTCTGCAATCGGCGGCCGCCTAGGAAAATAAAAAAATTAGTCTAATCCCCTTACAAAATACACCAAATGCACATCTGATAAGAGGCGTAGCTGTGGGGAAATAACCGTTAGTCGTCTGCATGCAAAACTGATAATTGCGGGGTAGAATGCAAGGATTAATGGGATAATTGCGGGGTAGAATGCAAGGATTAATGGGATAATTGCGGGGTAGAATGCAAGGATTAATGGGATAATTGCGGGGTAGAATGCAAGGATTAATGGGATAATTGCGGGGTAGAATGCAAGGATTAATGGGATAATTGCGGGGTAGAATGCAAGGATTAATGGGATAATTGCGGGGTAGAATGCAAGGATTAATGGGATAATTGCGGGGTAGAATGCAAGGATTAATGGGNATGGCTTTCCTGTATGATCCTCTGAAAGGATTAATTGATTATTTGAATTTAAAAAGTTTAAAGAAAAAACATATTCTAGAAAGCTTAAGAAGAAAATCTTGTAAAAACTGGGAAAAGTTTGAATAAAACATTTGTCCATCTTTCAACTTTTAATGCAGAGATGGGTCCAACATAGTTTTATAATCTTACAATTCCAAAACATTATTCTCATTATCTTTAATGAAAAGAATAAATTTGGTGCCCAAAACAGACGAGAGGGAGAGGGGCTTCAAAACTTCATTTTGTCCAAGAGACTTACAATATTTACTTATTTACAAAATGAAGAGTAAAAACCAAACAGGTCAGCCATGGCGTGCATGTCCAATTATATGTACCGAACACACAGTACAGTAACAAACATTGTACGTACTTTGCTGATTTGGTTTAATTTGATTCTCTGAACAAATCAATTTGAGCCAAATCTTTATCTTTGTTTAGATTTTTGATTAGTTTTACAACTCTTTTAGCCATTTTTTACTTATCGTTTGGAAATTTAAAATTTTTTAAAAATTTTAAATCCTCTAACCATGTTTTTGATTGCAGCAGATTCTAATTAATGAATATTTCTTTATTTGTATTTTGTATCCGACCTAAATCAAGATTGTATTCTTAATTGCCAATAGAGAATTAATCAAATATGTAAATGAAAGTTTCTGAATATCGAGGGGGGGGGGGGTTATAAAATATAGGATTTGTCTCTGTGATATGAGTCAGTAAAAAAAACATGGATTAGTATACAGCGATGTTTTGGACAAAATTTTCAGAATTATTATTTAGTTCGAATTTTAGGCATAAGTAAAATAAAATTTGATAAAAAAAATACAAAAATAATTTTGGATCATTGAAAATAAAATCGGAAAACTTATTTTTTTTTGAAAAAATTTAATTTGTTGAAAAATTGTTGGGAAAAATTTGACTGAAAATTTGCAATAAATGTTATCAAATTATAACCTTAGAACTGTAATGATTTCAAAAATGCAAATAATTGGCTTACATTTTTTGTTATATCTTATTTGATTTTTGATGAATTTTTATGAAATTTTGGAAAACAATAGAATAAACATTTTCCAAACAATTTTTCAAAAAGTTTATTTTTTTTCAAAAAAAATTGGTTTCGCTGATTTTTTTTAAATTTTCCAAAAATATTTATGAATTTTTTTTCGTAACATTTCATTTATGCCTAAAATCCGAACAAAATAATAATTTTGAAAATTTGTCGAAAACATTGATATTCCCTGTTTTTTTTTTAACTCACCCTGTGTATACATATTTGGCTAATCTGTCTGTGTTTAACAAACGTTAAAATGGCTAAAATTAACATGACCCCAGGGAAGGTTTTTGGACCATCATAATAGAAAAGTTGTCCAATGTCAATATGGGGCAAGAAGCGCCGTGCCCTAAAAGTCTAATATAAAAAGTGGCTGAAGCTGGATTGGGACTGTCCGGAGTGTAGGAGATAAGGAGGGAGGAGAGAGAAGAAAACTATGATAATATTCCAAGTATTCAGAACCTACTCGACAAATACAATAGGTTGGTCGGTGTGCAGTGTTTCATGTACAGCTTTTACATTCGTGTACAGTTTTATCTAGAGTACATAAACAATTCCTATTATACTATTTGTCGTACGGTACAACGTCCTGATATAGTTGTGTACAATATAACTAGATATTTATAGAATAAATGTGTTTACCTCTAACAAGTCCTCCCCTACCCCATTGTTTGAAATATTGTCAGATTTGTCGCAAAATGTTTTAAATTTTCAACAATAAATGTTTTGTTTCTCAACCTGACATTATTTATCCTCCCATTCACTTTCAGACATAAAATATCTTTATGTTTTTCTTTCACTAATATTTTCTATTTTTGCTTGGTTACTAACAAAATTTACATAATACAGCTACAAAAGGATATCATTAAAAAGTCCCAAAATCGTTTTCATATATCGTTTAGAAAGATCGTTTTTTATCTACTTTTGATTTTAGAAAAAAATTTAGCATAATGTAATAAAAGCAAACATAGAAAATTTGATTCTGCTAAAAATCTAAGATTTTATAGAACTCATTTAAATCCAAAAATCTTGAATGTGTGAAAATGGAACACCAAACTTTACCCGTTCATAAATACAGCAGAGCCCGCGATTAAAAAAAATCGGGAAAATCCGGCTCGGGTCTAAGCTGCCGTCGAGCCTTATTTATGGCTTGAGCTTTCGGATTCAAGCTACATCTTATTTTCCACAGAGTTGAATTCAAAAAACCGGTTTCATATTCTATTTGGTTGATTTTCATGGTAGGAATTGGCACTTACCGGGTTTTGATGAGAACAAGACTCAATATTGAGCCTTATTCTCTACTAAAACCAACCAAGGTCGGTTTTCTTTTCATTGGGCCTAACTCCTTAAGTCGAGCCGAAGATCTTCTTGCAGCTGTCAATCACGTTACACAAGCTGTCGTCAGAGCTGGGTCGAAGATTGGGTCGTAAAGTCGAGTTTAAGGAATTATATGGCTCGAGCCGAAGTTTTTAAATCGCGAGCTCAGGAAATCCGTCAACAGAGTTTTAACTTTTCTATTGATCATGCTTTCTACTTATCTTGTGAACCAAAAACTCTTGACATTTCTGATTGTAAAACTAGAACTCCTAAGACCTCTGAACCAAAATGATTGACGTCTAAAAGTTTATCAACTAAGTTTACAAACACAATTAGTTTATTTTAAAGTGGAATTAATAAAAAAGATAATACTAATAAATTTTAATCAAAATCAAAAATGATAGTTTTACAATTTTGATCATGGTTTGAATGAAATCTTTCAAATAATATGATAACTATTCAACCTATCCACAAAAACATTTAAATTTTGATGTTATATTAAAGTATATTTATTGCCAAATTAGATTTGTAAAAAGTTCAACTTTAAAGCCTAGATTTCTTTAGTACTTGTATAAATAGAAAGGAAGGGTTGATATGGAGAATAAAACTTTCCAACCAAAACTTTTAATTCTAGATTATAATCATAAATGTTCAATTTAATTATAAATTTGAATATTAAAGAATAGGAATTGAGTTTGCCGAGAATATTTTATATTTTATATTAATTTCTGAAGAATTGCAGCTAACTTACTTACCCAGGATAAATCTATAATTTTATAATCTTTATATCTGTACAATCTGATTTGCTAGACCTTTGATATTTGAATCTAAATATTTTGATAGATCTGATGGTCAAAGTATGAAATATCAAATGTTAACACCGTCAGGTTCTAAAGATACACGTACGTATAAGTAAAATTAGTGGAAAGAGTTCCGCACCCTTAACCCTATAAAGGCTGGTGGTTTGAATCTATGTATAGCCGGGGGAGGACCTCCCACGCCCCCCCCTATAAAAGGCCTTAGAGAATAGCTATGGGGTTGAAATGAATGTTCATAGCCCAATTTTTCAAGGCCAGCTCATAGAAGAAAAAAATTAGACCGATAACTTTTATAGTTTGGGGCCTAGGGAAAGTTGAAAAAAATGCCAAAAAAAAGTTTTAAAAAATGTAAAATAATTTTTTTGTTTTAAACAAATATCAAAGTGTGACACATGTTTCTACATCCATTTTTCAAGGGCTTTTCAGAAATTAAATTATTAGATCCGTAGCTTTTTACCGCTTTGTACCCTACCCTATGCATTGAAAAAAAATTTTTTTACAAAAATCCTTTAAATTTATATTTTTAAAAGTAAAAAAAATTTACGGTGATAGTGTCAAAATGGAGAATGGGCAAAAAAAATAGAGAAGGGGGCGTCCAACGCTCGCCCGTCCCCTAGCCTGTTAAGGGCTAAATCCCGGTGTAATGGATAGTCTGTGGAACTGGTACTTGTAAAAATATGACACGTACAAATGGTGTTATTCTAAAGTCTCTTTAATGATTAAAGATAATTATATCTTTCCTTTTAATATTCTGTTATAGTATTGATTCCTTGATCATTATTTGGTTTTAGAGAGAGGAAAAAGTCAATGTTTTTTCTCTAAATAGTCTAAAAAATTCCAAACAGGATTTAGTGAAAGAAAAATATAAACTATTCATACATAATGTAAACACTATCCGGGAGCTGCATACAGAATTAAGGATAAAAATAGAAAAATGTTTGATTTGTTTATGTACAAAAAGTACTTTATTTTAGGAAAAAATCAGACTTCGAAAAAATTTCTTCTTTAAAAAGAATAAAGTATCAAAATGTTTATGGCTTTTTATTTTCTGCAATGATATCAGACAAATATCGTTCTGATACATGTAATCTCTGTTTTTGCATACAGGGTGTTCCACAAAACATGACAGTTGATAAATAATTTTGAATGTCTTCTTCCATATACTGTATTAGATATTAAAGACTTTTTGAAGTTTATTTAGTTAAAAAAAATGTTGTTGAAATATATTTTACCTTGAAATCAATTTTACTATAACACGACTGCCATATAATGTTTTTTTTTTATTATTCTCTTTGGTATCAAATAACTTGACAAATTATGGAAGAAGACATTTTAAACTATTCAGTAACTGTCATGTTTTGGGGACACCCTGTATATTCTCACAAAATATCAAGAATTAAAGGAATGTTAGTGACCCTATATTTTTATACTACCTAGTAGAGTATGATTTGCAATGGTATCCTTTAAATCTTTGCTTCGTTTCTCTCAAGGTATCCTTTATTTTCTTTAAAGTAAAAAAACATCCGACATAGATGAAGATTTAAAGGTTACTGTTTAGGGTCATTAATTAAAGGGTCACCTAATCTTCTCCTTCCATTTCACATCCTTTAACATACTGCACCCAGTCCTGTACAGTACACAGAGATAAAACCAGTTTCAAGATGTAAACAAGACTTATAAAGTTCAACCCCTTACTGCTCGCAGGATAGAAAGAGAAATAGTCAAACCCATTTCCCCTCTACTAAAAATATTGACAGCCAGACAAGAAATTAATGTAAATAAATCCAAGAATCTGAAACAATCAAGTTTTCTACGAACTAAAAGACAGATGACGGGCTGGTTCGAATTCCAACAACTGTGAATAGTTAATACAATAAAGAGTTCCTACTAAATGTAGCGGAAACATCCAATCCAGCAGGGACCAAGGTGTTAGATATGGATTCTGGTTTAGAAATATATAGTTGAAACCCTGACCGAGAAATCTAGACATAAACCGGTAGATAAAACTCTAACTCACGTAGAAACTATAAAAATCCAAATTACCAAATTGAAAAGTTTCTGGCAAACCTAATAATCACTCAATAACCAGCAAAAGCTCTGAATGTAATAATAAAGGAATAACCCAGTGTTCAAGTTGTAATAAGGACATGGACCTACACATTGCTCCTCCTGGTGGTACAAGGACCTACACATAGCTCCTCCTGGTGGGACAAGGAACTACACATAGCTCCTCCTGGTGGTACAAGGATCTACACATTGCTCCTCCTGGTGGTACAAGGACCTACGCATAGCTCCTCCTGGTGGTACAAGGACCTACACATAGCTTCTCCTGGTGGTACAAGGATCTACACATAGCTCCTCCTGGTGGGACAAGGACCTACACATAGCTCCTCCTGGTGGGACAAGGACGTACCGATAGCTCCACCTGGTGATACAAGGACCTACACATAGCTCCTCCTGGTGGTGGCATTCTAGACAATATTCATGCAACTAGGCAACCCATATTCATTCAAAATAACTTAAATTCAAATTTTTATATTTTTATGGCGGGTTTTTCTTCAAAATCTCATAATTTCCTCCAGTGCAGAAGTTGGTCCAGATACCCATTATGGTTATTTACTAAGATTTTACCCTAACATCCCTTCCTCACCAGTCGCCAATCAGTTCCTTTACAAGTTTTATTTTACATTGATTAAAAGGACGGTCTTTCTTATTTTTAAGTAATCTTTAAATTGAAACTAGGCATTTCCGATTCACAACGGTTCCTTGAAACCTGTAGATATAAAGATTAATAGGGAAGATATTTTCATTTTTTAGCATACAAGGATTTAATTCTATTATTTCCTTCACTTTTTCTGAGTCAGAAATGCGCAAGTCACTTTCTATGGAAACTTGAATTAAAATTAATAAAATTAGATAGAATTATGAATATATTAAAAGGGTAACCTTGTGAATCTGACATCCGTCATTCAAATCAAATTTAAACTACGTGTACAGTCCCTTTCACCGTCTAAAAACGTATCCCCCCCCCCTTTTCCTTAGAATAAAAATTAAATTAAGTTCTGATTTTGGTTTGTGGCAGAGGTGTGTCATATTTCACTATCTACACAACTAAAGAAGATGCTGAGTCCCTCTACTAAATGTAGCAACACTATAAAAAGATGTTATGAGAAGCTTCTAGACGCGGCGGGAGAACGGAAAAAGTAAGAATTTGGGGCCTCTAAAAATATAACGTGATATACTAGAATATTCAAGCATTAGATAAAACGTTAACATCATTTTTCAATGATGGTTAGAACCGTATTTTGAAGAATTCGTAAAATAAATTTAGATTTTGGATTACCAAATTAAATCTGCATGTATAAAATTTGCATGTATATTTTTAAAACGTTTTATCTTTTATTATTATTTACATATATGAAGAATGTATTAGATTACTTTTTTATATATAGCACATATGTGCTACAGTATACATAGACTTGCATGATTATATGGTGGTAGGTGATAATATCAATGAAGATGACTTTTTTATTAGGTTTTTATTGAAATCAAGCTTTTTTGAATTACAAGTTTACAATTAAGTAATTGAAGAGAAGTTTTTAATTAATATCTTCTCTATGTTACTATTTTTTGGTGTGTCCATTCTGTTTAAAAGCTTGATATAAATCAAAATTGAAATCGAAGGTCGTCTTAATTGTATTGATACAATCACCTACCACCGTAATCAAAATTTGTTAATCCTACAGTGATAACTAGAAAAGTCTGAATTAGGAAGACGACTTTCATAATCGAGTTTTGACTTAAGTATTGTTATTATGTCGTCTTCCTATTCCATTGTTTTTTGGTTATCACTGTAGTATTTTTTAATTACAAGATCAGGGACACATATTTATTCCCGGTTTATGATTATTCTTTAAACCCCTGAATCATGTTTCGTGAATTTTTGAAAAGTCCAGGAACAAAAAGTGCGAATGCCTCGTCAGGTTTGTAAAATCTCCAGTAAAATCTCAGCATGATTTATATGATAACGTCACTAGTAAACGCTTTTTTGTTAAATAAAAAAAATGGATAACATTTTTTAAAAATATTACAGAAATATGTTGCGCAAAACTATCAGAAATATGTAGTATTAGCTTATGAACCCAGCGTTGCCCAGGGTACTCATAGTTACTCCAGCCGTTTACCCGGGTTTGGTCGTAAACGGTTTTAAATATTTTTCCCTATAAAAGTGGAACCAGTCAATTTAGAATCCCCAAACCAAGCTAAGAACATTCCCGTGGGTTTCCCAAGGTCTCCAATCAAAATTTGAGGCATATCGGTCCAGAAGTTCCCGAGTTATTCTCGAACAAACAATCTAACAGACAGGCAAATAGCGATTACAACTTTATATATACATATATAGATAATGCTCTCGGAAATAAACCCATATTTGTGAAACACCCTGTATAGTGCAGGGTAGGAACTCGATGAAGCATAATATAAGCTTGTCTAAACCAATCTTCAAATCAAAGTTTTAATTAAATTCTATAACAGTATATTAGTCAATCCGTCCAACTCAGACATTCAGGTTTAGATCTTTATTCAATTATTTTCCTTTAAAAGAAACTAACCTTGCATCTTACAGAAGGAAAAAAATCGAATTGAAAAGTATACAAAAGCGATATTTTATAATACCCATTAATTCTAACGTTAGAAACATTCGAACTGATTTTCTTCAACAAACACATTTAAAGTCTCCGGTGTGAATTGTATACTGTATACTGTATTACTGAATTAATCAAATATTGGGACAATTCCTCTTCCATGAAAATCTTTTTTAATGGCTTCAGGGTAAAGAATTTATGTTTACATAAATTTCAAGCATTTTAATATAAAATTCTGAACCTTTTAAAATCTAATAAAGTTCTCTACTATGTTACCCCCCCCTCTTAAAGGGAGTGTTCGCTAAAAATAAAAGGGGGTATAGGTTTAATGCGATAAAAAAACGCTTTTGATCGCAACTAATCTTGCTTCTATCTGTTGCGTCTATAAGGAGAAAATTGTTAAACACGACTCACACCGAAGAACGCAGCGTCCATACAAATTCGGAAAGATGTAACATTCAACTCGGATCGCAAACAAATCAATTTAATTCCAAACAAATCATTCAGATATTACAAACAGTAGTCATCGATTATTTTTGTGCTCACTCAGTGGTGAATACTATGTAGTTTCCTGGTATTCTCTAGTTGGTAAATACTCTGTGTAGTATCCTGGTATTCACTAGTTGGTAAATACTCTGTAGTATCCTGGTACTCACTAGTTGGTGAATACTATGTAGTTTCCTGGTATTCTCTAGTTGGTAAATACTCTGTGTAGTATCCTGGTACTCACTAGTTGGTAAATACTCTGTAGTATCCTGGTACTCTCCAGTTGGTGAATACTCTGTAGTATCCTGATACTCACCAGTTGGTAAATACTCTGTAGTATCCTGGTATTCACTAGTTGGTAAATACTCTGTAGTATCCTGGTACTCACTAGTTGGTGAATACTCTGTGTAGTATCCTGGTACTCTCCAGTTGGTGAATACTCTGTAGTATCCTGGTACTCACTAGTTGGTGAATATTCTGTAGTATCCTGGTACTTACTATTTGGTGAATACTCTCCTGGTACTCACTAGTTGGTGAATACTCTGTAGTATCCTGGCATATCCTGGTGTTAAGCAGAAGATATGAATATTCCGCAGTACACAGTACACACTGCAGATTTCTACTGTTTTACATAAAATCTGGGATTATAAGAATATACTGAATTTTATACATGGGGATAATATATATTGTATACATAATACAGTACTCTGGTCACAGGCCAGTGGTCATGTATATAAATAGCACTAAGTTTAATTGAATAATGCTAGACTAACATAATCTTTACCATCTTGAATCTGATTATTTTATCTTTTATTTTATTTTAATTCAAATTAGAATCATTTACCAACTTATTTTATTTTAATTCACTTTCAAGAATACAAGCATATAAGGTTAGGTATAGAGTAGAGGGAGTAACGAAAGTCTATAGGTAAAGGCTAGAAGGAGTAGAGAAAATCTAGGTATAGGTCAGAAGGAGAAGAGAAAGTCCGGGTTTTAGGGTGGAGGGAGTAGAGAAAGTCTATGTATAGGTTATATAGAGTAGAGAAGTCTAGATATAGGGTAAAGGGAATAGAGAAAGTCCAGGTATAGGGTAGAGGGAGTATAGTTTCTTGGGAAAGGATGGAGGGAGTAGAAAAAATTTAGGGTAGAGAGAGTAGAGAAGTCTAGGTATAGGGTTAGAGAGTATAGTGTCTAGGTATAGGGTAGAGAGAGTAGAGAAGTCTAGGTATAGGGTAGAGAGAGTAGAGAAGTCTAGGTATAGGGTAGAGAGAGTAGAGAAAGTCTAGGTATAGGGTGGAGGGAGTAGAGAAGTCTAGTGATAAGGTTAGAGAGTATAGTTTCTAGGTATAGGGTGGAGAGAGTAGAGAAGTCTAGGTATAGGGTAGAGAGAGTAGAGAAGTCTAGGTATAGGGTAGAGAGAGTAGAGAAGTCTAGGTATAGGGTAGAGAGAGTAGAGAAGTCTAGGTATAGGTTAGAGAGAGTAGAGAAGTCTAGGTATAGGGTAGAGGGAGTAGAGAAGTCTAGGTAAAGGGTAGAGAGAGTAGAGAAAGTTTAGGTATAGGGTAGAGGGAGTAGAGAAGGTCTAGGTATAGGGTAGAGGGAGTAGCGAACGTCTATCCTTTATTTTCCTGTTCTCTAGAAATCACACAATAAAGGAAGTTAATTAGCAGAAGATAGATCTATATTAAAAAGAGAAGTAGAGACAGACAGATAGGCAGACAGACAGACAGATAGATTGACAAACTGACAGACATATAAACAGAAAAAAGAGCATCCATACTTAGAAGTGTTTCAAACATAAAACCATAGTTACCTATGAGACTGTAAAGACGACCTAAAACTCTTAAAATATGACGATCCTATGGTTAAATCAAGCTTTCTGTTATCAGTAAATTTTTCTAGTGGTTATTTAATAAAAATTTCTTCTTTTTTATCTCTAAAAAGAGATACAGGGTTGCTCAAAATGAATGAGACCTGAAACCTAGATAAATATGACAATGTTTAAAAGGTTATATTTTGTCTTCTATTTTTTCGAGTCTTGATATCGCTATTTTAAAGATTTATATAACTATATTTGAAGCTGAGAGGAGCCTCGTGAATGTAAGAATTAAGACTAACCATGGAACAAATTTTGTCCCAAAACATAAAATAAATATGAAGATAAGATAGAACGATAAATATGCATGAACGATCTGAGCTTTTCAAGTGAACTTAGCAACGTCATCAAAATAGTTTTCCCCTAATACAAGAGATTCAAGTTTAAAGTTCACTAACAATAAATAACCCAAGGTTATAATGAAAGGAAAGTTATTTCACAGGTGTACGAATCTTTTGTACTGCGGTGTACTGTCTCTGGGCGGTAATGTAAACACAAGGCAGATGTCGAAGCCTGACATGGGATCCATATTTCACATAAAAATTAATGACATATTATGTGAATTATCAAAATATTCAAAATGTAATGCTTTTAACCTCCTCGGATACTAAACAAACACTGATGCATCAATTCTTGTTTACAAATTCCACCCAGAGAGAACTGGTTTCAATGTGTACGTAGAGTATACGCAACTGCAATTAACTTTCCTTTCATTATAACCTTGAAATAATCATTTAAAATGTCTTGATATATTTGTTTTGTATGGTTATTTGTATCGTCTAAACGTCTGAACCGATCTATCCCAAACTTTTTGTAGGAAGTCACATGGCCTTGAGAATGTGTAAGGCTGTTCTAAAGTTTTAAATTCAGACTAACTAAAATTTTGATATTTCAAAAAATTTGAAAAAAATGTAAAATTCTACAAAGGAATTGAGTCTTTGTAACAAACTCTGATTTTCTAATACCTATATTTTTTTCTCCACCTGATGGTGTAAACCTTTGATATTTCAGACTAAGATTCTTTCATCTAAAAGAATTCATAGTTTGAAATATCTAAGGTATACGGCTTTGGGTTGCAAAGATATAGACATTAGAAAAGCATAGTTTGTGAAAAAGACTCAAAGAAAAAGACTTATGAAAAGTTGCGTCAATATTCAAGAATAAGTCAACGGAAGGATTTAGTATTTATATTATGCCCTGTATATTTTAGTACAACAGTCACATAGACCCTGAATTAATTGACAGTTAACCAGGAGACTTTACATAAATATCTCTAACAACTATAAATGCTCAAAAAAGGCAGACCCCATTTTGGAAATGGCAGAACTAGGACTGTTTTGTGATTATCGTTTCCTCAATTATATTTATAAAATTAGATTGTAAAACAGTCCGATATTATTTGTTAATTAATTCCGGGTCTTTCTGATTAGAACTTTACCATAAAGTATTCGTTTTTAGCTTTAGTAATTAGTGATTGGCAAAATTCTTAATGATTGGTTACTTTTGTTAAAGAAACATTTTAGAGCTAGAGAGCGCGAAGCACTATAGAAGCATAGAATAACATATTATATTAATATAATATATAATATATATATAATATATTGAATATAAAAGGAAAAGCAACTAATTAGCTGGAAAGTTTGTGAGACCAGTGTAGTGTGCAGTCTTGATCAATACAAAACTCTTAAACTGAAACAAATCAATTTTCTCTTGACCTTAATTAATCAACTTTTCAACATCAAAGGTTTTTCTTTTCTAATTGTTAAACAAAATTCTCAAACATGATCATAATATGTGTAGGTTTAATTAAAAAGGAATTATCCAATGAAGACGATAAATGGCGGTCCGGCGGACATGTTGAATGGTTTATACCCCATGTTTAACCAATGAGATATTTTTCAATAAAATGTTTGTTCAGAACTGGACTGTGTTGTCGAAAACATCTCATCCTTTAAAAAACCTTCAAAAGATCAATAACCACGCAGAATTTCTGAGTCGTCATAAATTTGATACCCCCCCCCCATTTTAAAGTTTTGATTACTCCCTTATAATTGATGAAAATGTTGGAAGAACTCACGATTTCTATATTAAATTTTCTATTTCAATGTTGAGGGATAAAAATAAAAATTTTCAATATTTTGAAAAGTGATGTAAAAAGTTGTATACTTTAGAAATCCTAAACAAATTTCCGCAATATTTGTGGATAAAATATCATTCACACCTAGCCATCTTTCAGTCAAGGATGTACTATTCAGAAAAAAAGTAAAAAATACATTTATAGCTGCATATCTGATGGTGCCTCAAAGCTAGGAGACTTCTTAAAAATCGTTATCTTATAATGATTTAATTCTTTAGTTAGATTAGACAGCAAATGTCTGTCAAATGGTATATTTTATAAAACACACTGTAGATAAACGTATTAAACTGTAAGTTTCCTTTACTAGGTCATACAGTATCTATTTACGAAAATAATATACAAAAATCCGTTTAACGCGTAATACACCGTTTCATGACTTTCTTTGTTTTGATTGCGAATTCTTTTCCTCTCCTATCTTTATAAAACATCCATATGTAGTAATTGGAGAATTTACGCAGACAAAACTTAAAGAAATTACAAAAATGTTCTTGGACTAAAAAATTAATATCTATCTTTCCTGATTACACAACATCTCTCAACCTACCTGTCTATCTACCTGTCTATCTACCTGTCTATCTACCTGTATATCTACCTGTCTATCTAAATGTCTATCTACCTGTCTATCTACATGTCTATCTACCTGTCTATCTACCTGTCTATCTACATGTCTATCTACCTGTCTGTCTACCTGTCTGTCTACCTGTCTATCTACTTGTCTATCTACCTGTCTATCTACCTGTCTATCTACCTGTCTATCTACCTGTCTATCTACCTGTTTATCTACCTGTCTATCTACATTTCTATCTACCTGTTTATCTACCTGTCTGTCCACTTGTCTTTTAAACCTGCTTTGATTTAGGTTTTGAAAAGAGTATCTGATTTTTTAACATTCATCTGATCCTTTGAGTGGAAACAATCATCTTTTAAGCACAAAATAAAGTTCAAACAATCTTTTGATACATTAAAAAAAGTTTTCAAAAATTTCTAAAGTTTGAAATTTCTCCCCCCCCCCCATCCTCTCTCTTTGATGCATTAAAGATTAATAAAAAAGATTATACCCTGATAAAGGAGGGACGTAGGATATCTCAAAATTTTTAAATTCCCGAATATAAACATGTTTATTTATAAATATTAGATATTATTCAGCGTAGCAAGCTAAAAAATGCGATGATTACTGTGTACTTAAAATAAACTCTGAAATTTAATACTTTGGATTTTATCTTTTGACGATGATTTATCCCATCGACATTTCAGTTCAAGTATATCTTTAAAAAATCAAAATTTCACCTTAAAATAATAAAAAAAAATATGTGTGCAAGTGCTTTTCATGCATATTGTCTGTATGCCTGTCTATCAAATAGAGTCTTTCTGTCTTCTATTGAACATATTTACGGGTCGTATTTTCTTTCTGCTGTTGTACATATTAACGGGTCTTACTTTCTGTCTGCTATTGTACATATTTACGAGTTGTACTTTCTGTCTGCTGTTGTACATATTAACGGGTCGTACTTTCTGTCTGCTTTTGTACATATTTACGGGTCGTACTTTCTGTCTGCTATTGTACATATTTACGGGTTGTACTTTCTGTCTGCTATTGTACATATTTACGGGTCGTACTTTCTTTCTGCTATTGTACATATTTACGGGTTGTACTTTCTGTCTTCTATTGAACATATTTACGGGTCGTACTTTCTGTCTGCGATTGTACATATTTACGGGTCGTACTTTCTGTCTGCTATTGTACATATTTACGGGTCGTACTTTCTGTCTGCTATTGCACATATTTACGGGTCGTACTTTCTGTCTTCTATTGTACATATTTACGGGTCGTACTTTCTGTCTGCTATTGTACATATTTACGGGTCGTTCTTTCTGTCTGCTGTTGTACATATTAACGGGTCGTACTTTCTGTCTGCTTTTGTACATATTTACGGGTCGTACTTTCTGTCTGCGATTGTACATATTTACGGGTCGTACTTTCTGTCTGCTATTTTACATATTTACGGGTTGTACTTTCTGTCTGCTATTGCACATATTTACGGGTCGTACTTTCTGTCTGCTATTGTACGTATTTACGGGTCGTACTTTCTGTCTGCTACTGTACATATTTACAGGTCGTACTTTCTGTCTGCTATTAAACATATTTACGGGTCGTACTTTCTGTCTGCTGTTGTGCATATTTACGGGTCTTACTTTAAATTATCATATTTAAAATATATCCTCAGTTTTGTATTTGTATTAAATTTGATTTTTCATTAATCTACGTTCAATTCCATGTTGAAGTGACATATATGAATGACTGCATGACTGAATATCTATCTATCTATCAAAATATTCTACCTGACTGCCTGAACACTTTTGAACGTGCATGCTTGAATCTAGTTCCCCTAACTTCTTAAAATCTCCTTGAAATAAGAGAAATCATCAAAATATCTCTATATATATGTCAAGATAATGATTATCAAAAATTTATTAATTTTGTTCAAGGTTTTATAAAATATCTAGTGGGTGGAAATCAGAAATCAGGGGTAGATTTGCACGAAAAAAAAATGTTGCCCCCCCCTGGGCCCCCACCTAAAAATTGAACAAAAAGCAGTAAATTTCAATTTTTTATTTGTTCAAAAATAATTGTTCACAATATTACAAAAAAATACATAATCAAAATATATAATCAAAATATATATACAACTATACATGTGCAGATGTATCATGTAAGGAGGCCGGATGTACATCACATTTTTCGCACTCCNCCCCCACTTTCATTATATTAATCTCTTAATATTGAGAGGTTGCTATATTTAAAGTTGTTTGCCGGAAAGAGGTTTCGTGGATTTTTAATAAATCGAGGTTGAGTGATTCTTTGTATTATCTCACTAGATACTACACCTGTTATCCACACGGTTCATTCAAAGTAAGCATTAAGGTGCATTTTAAATTGTAAATTACAATAAAGTGATTTGAACATTTTAAAAATTTCCTTCTTACGAAGGCTTAAGTTTTAATAAAAAGTCACTAATTATTCTGTACATCGCACGCTGTACAGATAACATTATATTAGATCATCTTTTTTATCAATTTTGTATGTTAAATGTTTCTAAAATATTCTTTATATTTCAGGTATGTATAAAATTTGATCTTCACATGGACTCAAAGAAAACTATCTCAGTATACATAGTTAGTAAAAAACCTTTCAAAAATTGATGATAAGCTTTCACAGTAAGTTAATGGAAACCTTTTACTCGACAACATTTCTTTAGTTGTCCTGTCTCCAGTTGTCATATCTGTCTCCATTTCCTATCTGTCTCTAGCTGTCCTATGTGTCTCTAGTTGTCCTATCTGTCTCTAGTTGTCCTATCTGTCTCTAGTTTTCGTATCTTTCTCTAGTTGTCCTATCTGTCTCTAGTTTTCGTATCTTTCTCTAGTTTTCCTATCTGTCTCCATTTCCTATCTGTCTCTAGTTGTCCTATCTGTCTCTAGTTGTCCTATCTGTCTCTAGTTGTCCTATCTGTCTCTAGTTGTCCTATCTGTATTTAGTTGTTCTATCTGGTTCTAGTTTTCCTATCTGTCTCTAGTTTTCGTATCTGTCTCTAGTTTTCGTATCTGTCTCTAGTTGTCCTATCTTTCTCTTGTTCTCGTATCTGTCTCTAGTTGTCCTATCTGTCTCTAGTTGTCCTATCTGTCTCTAGTTTTCGTAACTGTCTCTAGTTGTCCTATCTGACTCTATTTGTCCTATCTGTCTCCATTTCCTATCTGTCTCTAGTTGTCCTATCTGTCTCTAGTTGTCCTATCTGTCTCTAGTTGTCCTATCTGTCTCGAGCTGTCCTATCTGTCTCTAGTTGTCCTATCTGTCTCTAGTTGTCCTATATGTCTCTATTTGTCCTATCTGTCTCTAGCTGTCCTATCTGTCTCTAGTTGTCTTATCTGTCTCTAGTTGTCCTATCTGTCTCTAGTTGTCTTATCTGTCTCTAGTTTTCGTATCTGTCTCTAGTTTTCCTATCCGTCACTAGTTTTCCTCTCTGTCTCTAGTTGTCCTATCTGTCTCTAGTTTTCGTATCTGTCTCTAGTTTTCCTATCTGTCTCTAGTTGTCCTATCTGTTTCTAGTTTTCCTCTCTGTTTCTAGTTTTCTTATCTGTCTCCAGTTTTCGTATCTGTCTCCAGTTTTCCTAACTGTCTCCAGTTCTCCTATCTGTCTCCAGTTTTCCTTTCTGTCTTCAGTTCTCCTATCTGTCTCCAGTTCTCCTATCTGTCTCTAGTTTTCCTATCCTCTAATTTCTAAGCCTGTCATCTAATTTCTAAATATGTCCTCTAATTTTAAATCTGTCCTCTAATTGCTATATATTTCCTCCAGATGTGGTTTCTGTCTTCTAATTTCCTCTCTGTCCTCTAATCGCCTTATCTGTCCTTTAATTTTCATATCTCTCCTCAAACTACTTGATATCTTTATCTTCTAATTGTTCTTATTGCCCTTTCCTTTCCTTATCGTCCTTAAATTGTCCTATATGTCCTATAGTTGCTAATGTCTACCCTATATCTCTTCTTGTTGTCCTGTCTGTTCTTTTGTTGTCCTATAATGCATATTTTTTTCCTAAAGCTGGCATATTTGTCTTGAACTCCAAGCGGTAGCTTCAAATATTAGAAAATGGTTTGTTTTACTGTATTTACAGCAATTGTATTCTATATTGATTAGATAATGTATCTGGAGCAGAATGTATTGTTGAAGTATTGAGTGTTTGTGTGTGTGTGTGTGTTCTAGTGAAATAGGCGTATTTAACTCGTAAAGCTGTCTACTATACAAAGTAATTGTTGGGGAGGAACTTTGCCAAAATTATTGACAGATAGATAGATAGATCACTTAAAAGAAGGCAGATAGATTATGAAATAGATAGATGTGCTGATAGATAGATCGGCCATTTAACAGTGGGCATATAATTTGAAAATGAAAAAGGAAAGCTTTAGATAAATTGAAAGATATGCCTTTCAGGAAAAACTATGAAAATTCTGAAATCTTTGACCCTCTAGAATCAAGAACGAGGGAAACATTTAATGAGGCGCTGAGCACTCAGAATTCCTTTAAGATTTTTACTAAGGAACCTTTAATATTTACACAGCTGTAGTTCAAGTTTTTGGAGGAAAAAAGTAGCTTTTCAGTAAACATTTTAAAGGGAAACTTTAACATTTATACTACTTTTTATTGCATTTTAAAAAACATTTGCATAAGGAAAATAAAGTATTGTTACATGTAATGCAGGTAATGTAATATCTTTAAATTTTTTAAATAAAGAAAGTTGAGTCGGGTTCAGGATTCCTAAAGTACTCTATAATATATGTAACTAAGATTATGGTTTCTATTTTAATAGAATAACAGTATTTTCGAGGGAGGGATAGAATGAAATAAATTATTTTTAACGAGAGAAGATCTAGTCTGGTCTAACTGAGGTTGTGCACTACTCCTAGGATTTAGACAAAATAAAAGAGAAAAATTAAATCTAAGCAAACTTTTGCAAATAATCCTAAACCAAAATTGAACCATTGAAAACAGAAAATTAAATCAACTGATATTGGAGAATTTATTGAAAGGATATGATGTTTTGCATACTGTACACTGTACAGTGTAGTAATAACAACTGTTGAAGGGGGAAAGTGAGATTTGGATTCTTGAAAAAGGGACCTCTTTCTTCTTTTGCTCCTAATTTTTCATGGGGGAGCTTCCCCCCAGTTTCCAGGGAGGGGGGCATCCCCCCCCCCCAAGAAGCCGCTTCTTATACTAATGTATCTATATTTACAATTAGATTTGTATAAATGAAAATAATAAAACCATCACGAAACCTCGGTCTCCATAAAGTCACCTCAAGATCGATCTCTTCATTTTCTCTTTAAAATCTTAAAAATGGTGAATCTATTTTACTGTCTTTAAAGGGACTGTGAGGGTAATTTGAAGTGACCTTACATTTAAAGAGGGGAATCTCCAATTCCCAAAGGTACCCTAACAACTTTTGTTTGACAGACTTTGTCCTTATTTATCTGAAGAAACCCTAGTTATTGTTAGCAGCACATTTAAGAGATATAAACACTACGATATTTGTTCTAGAGATGATCAGTTCAAGGTTTAAAGGGTTATACCGTTGTGAGTCGAGGACTCTCCTTTTTATATGCATGGAAGGTCACTTGAAATTATGCTGTAAGTTCTGAAGACTCAAGGCGTTTCATCAAATATTATGTTGAAATATTCAAAATATCTTTTCTTCTCCGATATTAAAGTTTAACTTCACAAAGGTGAAATGTACTTTGTATAGAAACACTTATATTCATTCAAGATATTTATTTGTTTGTTTAGTTTAGTTCCTGTATAGACTGTAAACAGACCTTCTTCCGACAAACGTTTATGAATTTAACATGAATAGAATTTAATTCACTCATTAGTAGAACAGCTTTCAAGAATATTAAAGGGAATGATCACCCGCATTTATAAAGTAGAATGCATGTCAGATACGAAAAAAAAAGAACATTTTAGCCATTTATGATTTGAGACATATACCTGAGCATCCCAGATTTACATAGGTATCCTTTAACTGGGGGTAAATCGGACATACCAACCTAAGTCTCTTCTATAGTCCATCTTGAGGAAGTGATATATAAAAACGAAAATGAGTGAAGAGTGAAACAAAACAAATAAGGAATTAGTCGATATGATTTACATTTATGATTTCATTTAAAAGAAAATTGTATATAAACAGTCCCCAATCGCCAACGTGGTTGTGACCTACGACAAAATGAACCCCGGGGTTTCTTTTTGATCTTTGTAGAACCCCAAAGAGATTCTAGCGGCTACGAAAAGTTGCATTGTTTAGACCGGATAGACTTTAAAGCTACGCAACCCATTGGTTTTGGATATTACCTCACAAACTCACTTATACTTTAGTAAGCACATTGTACAATTTACAATTATAAAGAAATTGTTTCAGATTCAGTTTTTTAACAAGTAATTGGCAAATATTTGCCTCTGTGAGACCTATAGTAACCCTAGCATTTATAATTTAACAATGGCTCAGATTTATTTATTATTTTTTTGTGAGTCCTTTCTTTATATCTCCAATATTTACAATATCGTATTTTCAAAAAATGTTTCCGACATTGAAATGGAATTTTTATCAGATATTACCAGATATATGCTGGCTGGTTCAAAGTTGTTTTTGATATATGTTATAGATTGTAGAACTATGTAGATTGTAGAACTATGAATATTGTAGAACTATGTAGATTGTAGAACTATGTAGATTGTAGAACTATGTAGATTGTAGAACTATCTAGATTGTAGAACTATGTATGTTGTAGAGCTATGTAGATTGTAGAACTATGTAGATTGTAGAACTATGTAGATTGTAGAACTATGTAGATTGTAGAACTGTGTAGATTGTAGAACTATGTAGGTTGTAGAAATATGTAGATTGTTGAACTATGTAGATTGTAGAACTATGTAGATTGTAGAAATACAACTAAATATTGTTTTCCCTTCTTTTTGGCTGAGCTGATTGGAACCCATTGACAGGATTCCAGGGGGGTTTAGGTGTAATTAGAAATAGTANTTGTGTGTTTCAGAAGGCTCGGCAAAATGCTATGAAGTCCAAACGTAATTCAAAATTCTATTTTTTTAAAATTTTTTAATGAAAAATCATGACTCTGATGCGTAGAATTATAAACCTAAACGAAGCAAACTCAATCTGTCGTTAACCAACGATTTTAAAAATCGCTCAAGCATATAACTTCTATCAGAGTCAAGATTTGGCTTATTCTAAAAGCAAACTTGGAGAAAATACAATTTTAATTAAGTTTAATTAACTTTTCAGATTTTGTTTAGTCTCCAGAAAGTTTAAAAACTCTGGATGTTTAAAAACTGTTAAAATAAGTGCACAAATTGAAATAGGAATAAGAGGTAAAGATTTTGCTTCGACCAAGAAATTATGCATTTTGCATTCATTGCAGTAATACAAATATCTTTCTTGTGTGGCTTTATTATTTCTAGTATTATGGTTACACGGAACACTATTTCTTTTATGAACAAATCGGAAAAAAATCTAATAAAAAGATTGGCGTAAAAAGAGGGTGCGAGGAGCCCTGAATTCTAAATTAACCAGAAAGAGAAAAATATAAAACTATATTTATTCGTTAATGTTCTTCCTCAGGAATGTCATG